TGTTGAGACAATGTCCAACTATAAGGGTAAACCTAAAGATGGAAGGATTTTAATGGCTTCTAAGTTTGACACAGGATTTGATCAAATAGTGTATTTTCGGAATACACGCTTAGAAATCACCTATGTGAGTGTGAAGTGGAGCCGCTTCAAGGAGAATAAAAGAAGGCCAGTTCTCTAAGCACTCATGAGACCAGGCGGTGTTCATGGCTAAAACGAACACAACAATGAGAACCAGTGAACGGATAAGAGTTAGTTGTGTGACATATGTTGTCTTAGTATACAAGAAAAACCGACGGTTCAAAGATATCACATCTACCGATTGGTGAGTATACTCGATATATGTTCACTAAGGAAGGTTCAAAGGGAAACCTACCTATCCCGATGCAACTAATTCTTAGTCGAGAATCACACGAGTTTTTTGCATAGTTTTTTAAAAATGCAACATTCTCCATTCATGTGGGGGATTGTTGGGATTTTTAGTGGTGTGAATGGAAATAAAAGGGGAGAGTTTCAAGAGAGTCTCTTGAAGTACCATGTTGGTAAGATGCGGGAAGGCATGGCCTCGAATTCGATCGATTTGATGTAATATGTGGTTAATCGATTAAATTGGTTTGTGTACCAAACGGACCAAACCAAACCGAGTTGAACCAAATTAAACCAAACCGATGTGGTAGTTGGAATAACCAAACCGGTCCAACTACCATGTGTCGAACCGATGCAATGGTTCATTATTTCAAACATGAACTAATGTGTTGGTTGGGGTGTAACCACCCCTATGAAGAGTCGCCTCCCTTCGTACGCACCCCTCCATTTTCTATAAATAGCACCTAACCCCCTCTGGTTTTTATATAGTTTTTCCGATACGAAAATTCTGCCAAAATCCAAAACTAGTTTTCTGCATTCTTTTCAAAGAGAAAATAGAGTCAAGTGTGGTTCTCGCCGGTTCGGTGCGTTCGATGGTTTCCGCAGTTTGAGGTATCGCTACGCCGGAAAAGGTACGTCCTTTCTATCCTAGGAGGAATCATTCCATAACCTTGGGTACTTGAGGGGAATAAGATTCTTTAAGGAGAGATAGTGAATTCTATCGGCTAGGACGCTTGCATGTGTCTTTGCATGTTTCCTTAATCTTATGTGTTTGCTTGTGTTGCAAGAAAATAGTATACGTGAAGAATTTCCCCAAAAATTCGCTTACCAGTTCACCTATCAGCTACCCAGCCGATACACCTTTGCTTCCCTGAAACCCTGACTAAGATATCTCACTCAAATTTTGTGCTGACTTTTCACTCAAACCCTTGCTAATACCCTTAGCTCTCTTGTTTGAATTGTCTAGAAAAGTCTGCTGATCATTCTGGCTTCCAACTCTATATATACACTTGTCTTCTCCTCATAGCCGTTGGAATTGAAAAGTTTACTTTCCTTGCTTGTTCCTTGACTCTGTAACTTTCCATATGAATTTCAATCCGTAGAGGATGATTTCCTCAATCTTCCTCTAGCTGGTGCTTAGCTGTGTAAACTACCTTGATGGCGAGACTGATTTGACGTTCATGTCCGTTTAGGTAATGCATTAGTTCATGTCCGAGCAAGATGTTGTCAACAATTTGACGTTCTCGGATGAAAGCAATTTTGTCCTTCCGAAACGATTTTTGGCAAGTGGCAGGATAGTCTTTCTGATAAAATCTTGTTGATGATTTTATACACAAACTGACACAGACTGATAGGTCGAATGGTCTCCACATTGTCCACTTTTGGAATCAAAGTCAGCCAGATATGGTTAAAATTGCGGAGGGGCCTACCCGATGCGAAGAAGGAACAAACGGCTTTAATCACCGAATCATCAACGGTGTCCCAAAAGGCTTTTAAGAAACTTCCCAGTGAATCCATCAGATCTTGGAGCCTGTTATGATCCCATGGAAAAAAACCGTTCGTCGTACCTCACTAGGTAGGACTTCCGCAGTGAGCCCCACATTCATCTCCGGTGTCACACTCCGAGCTATGGGGAGACTTGCTATCCGATCAGCCATGTTAAGGATCTGACTCTCTAAGCTAAAGAGTTTTTGGTAGAAATTTGTGGCAATATCGGCCTTTCCTCTCTCCTCGGTGACCCATTCTCCATTTTCATCGTGGAGACCAGAAACAAAATTCCTCTTCCGACGGGCCCGTGTCACCGTATGGAAGTATGACGAGTTCTTATCGCGCTTCTTTAGCCACGTGACGCTGAACTTCTGTTTCCAATAGACTTCCTCTGCCTCCCATTGTCAATTCAATTCTAATTCCAACTCTTGCACGTCATCCCAATCGATAGGATGGATTGATTTGATCCGATCAATCTCCCCCTGTAGGGTTTTGATATTTCAAAGCGAGATAGTGGTACCAGTCCTGCTCCAATCATAAAGAAAATGTCTTAATTTCTTCAGCTTCTGCCATAGCTGGTACATCGGAGTTCCACTAACTTCCTCCTGCCAAACATAGTAGGATTGCCATATGATCAGACCCCTGATTCGTGAAATGTTTGGTAAGGGTATCCGGGAACTGATTGATCCAAGTTTAGGAACGCAAAGCTCTATCTAGCCTTTCCCTGATACAAGCAGTGCCCATGTGTTTATTTGTCCACATGAGTTGGTCTCCTTAGAAACCAGGGTCATGAAGCCCAAGATCATGGACAAAATCACAGAGGACAATCGATTTGGCTAAGTACCAAGGGTTTCCCCCATCTTTTTCATTCTCGTTCATCGTTGCATTGAAATCACCCATAACCACAAAAGGTAATGGTATTCCTTCGTAAATTTCCCAAATTTGAGCCAATTGAGAGTCTCTGATAGAAACATCACAACTAATATACACACACACCACCACGTAAGAAAATCCAACTTCATTAATCTGGATACAAATGGAGAAATTGGAATGAAAAACATCGAAGGGTCAACTTTGCGGGACCAAGCAACAACTAACCCACCTGATGCGTTAATTGCATCAACAAAAAAACAATTAGAAGAAGCAAAACCTAAACCCTGCATATGATGCGTAACGACGCGCCTGCACGATCTTGTTTCGGAAAAGAAGACAAGATCCGGCTTATTTGAATGAACTAACCCTGCAACAGTTTGGAATGTGAGGGATGGTCCAATTCCTCTCACATTCCAGGCCAGTAGCCTCATTTATCCGGTTGGGGCCATTTGAGGCTGGCTTCCTCCACCTTCTCGGACACATCGACATCCTCGAAATATTGTTTTTTAGGGGTAGGATTCTCCGCCACATCGCCCTTGAGTTAATTGATAGAACGTTTTTTAGTTCCCTCCACTCGGTCGACTAGGTTGGAACCATATTCATGAATTCCCAGGTCATCTCCAGCATGTATCTCCGACACCACATTAGCCTTTTCCTTGGGGGGACGACGGCTTGTACAGGCTCAGCTCCACCTCGACATCTTCCATGGCTAGACCAGCTTCAAAGGCCTGAATGACCTGTTTGACCCGATTGGAACGAACCAGTCGGTTCAGTCTTCCTTTCACCGGCGGCACTCGTTTTCTAAGTTCATAGGCAGGAGGATCCTCCTCAGACAGAGTCGCCTTCGACTCCAGTGACTCAGATCGTATCTCTCTTGGCTAAGCTTCACTTGGTTCAGTCAAGGAATGGGCCACGAAACTTCGGCCATCACCATTCTCATCTCCACTGTCCATTACCAAAGAGATCCCTTTCTCATCCCCCTTGGCCTTCACACCGCTCCTTTTTGAGCAAGCTGGTACAACCTTCTTATATTTAGGTGCATTAGCATTTTTTGAATTTGATCTCTCTTGCTTATTCCCCTTTGGCACAGGATTAGTCCCCTTTTCGCATCCCTGCCTCTTGGGAGCTAGTTGCGAGCTTTTGAAGCTGCTGGGTTGCGTGGACACCATTTCCATGCGGACATTGGCGTATGGGTGCAGGTATGGTTGGCACGATAAACTCATCTTCAGATTTCTCCTCTAGAATGAGTCAGCACCGACGTGCTTGATCATTCTCGTGCACGTGCTGCGGCATCTGCCCGATCATGGAGGAAACATCATCCATTCGGTGTCCACCACCAGGATGGACATTCCGAGTACAGGTATTATTAGTATTCCTCCTTGCTGCTTGATGTGTGGGTTCACGTCCCTGGATTTCCTTGTCTGCCATGCATATACGATCAATCCTCATGGCGCTAACCCCTCTTCTTTTTTTGTTTCTTTTGCCTCTACGAGATAGCTTCCCAATTTTAACCGTGGGAGCTTTGAAACAGGAACATGAAAGGATCTCCTACTCTGTTGATATCTCGATTCTATCTTAATGAATGGATTGAAAGAGGTTCCCATCCACAGCGGGCTATCATCGATAGTGGGCTTCTTCACCTTGTACAGATCTCGATTTATCATTCCTCCTGAGGCCGGCTCGACCGTAGCAGCACCCTTCTTTCCCCCCGAATAGCAGAATTGATCCAAACCGATTTACAATGATCGTGAAATTGATTGTTATTCTCCTCGACATCATAAATATGCTATCTCATTTTCCTTGTCGACATATGAGGGCCAAACCTCTCTTTCCTAGTAGGAGGATCAAACGTACAGGACTGACGAGCATGCCCAACCGTCCACAATTAAAGCAGAATGTGGGAAGGTATTCGTACTTTAATCTAATCCAAAAGCTGCCCTTTTCATCATTGGTTGCCATGATTTGGGACCACAATGATTTGAAAAATTCGATAAGAACCCGAACCTTCACAAAGCCGCGAGCCGTATCAGTACAGGAGAATACTCTAGCTTCCAGAAGTAGATAACAAAAAAGCAAAAATTAAAGATAACATCAATTTAATGACTGTGCCTCCTGAACTGGTGTCGCACACATCAAGGGCGCTCCCCTCAAACAATGCCCACCATCAACCACAAAATTCACCATGCTGATATACGCGGACTCGTCGGTCACCAAATTCAGCGCCGCCTTCGCAACCTCCTTCTCCGTCAACACCACTCCATTCAGATTCCCCATCTTCATGAAGATTTCCTTGTACGCATTCCCCCCATACCCGAGGTCTCGATCGCCCTCAAAGTCGCCACTGAGACACAGTTCACCCGAATACCAAACCCGCCCAACTCCACGCACAGGTTCTTCGCCAGCCCCACCACCGTGTGCTTCGACGTAGAGTACACGTGCGGTGCCAGGCCGTAGCTCACCGTCGCGGAGCTAGCCGTCAGCAGGATGGTTCCGCTCCTCCCAGGAACCATCACCCTCGCAGCGTGCTTGGCCGCCAGGAAGGATCCGTACACGTTGGTGTCGAACACCTTCCTGAACACTTCCCGGTCCACCGACAGTATGCCCACTTTGTTTTTGTCGTGAGGGTCGAACTTTTCGCCTCCTATCCCTGCGTTGCTATACATGATGTCGAGCTGCCCGTGCATCAAAACGGCTGCGTCCACCGCGTTTCGCATGTCGGCGTCGCTCGTGACGTCGCACTGGACGTAGGACACGAGTTGCCCGACTCCGATTGGATTTCGTCCGATGTGCGCCGCCCCAGGTCGGTCTGGATGTCTGCTATGAGGACTTTGCCGCCATGTTGGGAGAAGAGTCGGGCGGCGGCTGCACCGATGCCCCTGGCTCCGCCGGTTATGAGCGCTACTTTGCCCTGTAATCTTTTCGCCATGGTTGTTTGCTATCGATGGTTACTTCGTTAGGTCTTCTTTTATCATCATTGAAGGTCTTAGTTAATTAATTGACTGCCACCACGATCCATGATATTAAATGGATCTCGCTTGAGACATGGACGACGTTCCCATTTTTTTATTCCATTTGCCCTTCGCACCTACTTTTCATACAAATCGTAAAAATATTAGTGTCGTGTATAGGCGTTAAATTAGGTAACCAAGTAGCAGGTAGGATGTCAACGGGTGGGAAATCTAGCTATATCCATATGTGGCATATATAGCATCGATGGTTTACTCATTTGGTCCTGTTTTGTTATCATTAATGGCCTTAGTTAATTAATTGACTGCTACAACGATCCATAAAATGGATCTCACTTATGACATCCATGTTCAAGTTTTTTAATCACACTAGTCACGGGCCCGGTCAGTTGGCCGAATTTAGTCGACAATCAGATAAATAAAAATATAAATTTGTACATGAACTACGGATTAATATAAGAAAACCCAATTTTTTTTAAATTCTCTAAACATTGTTACAAAATGATTCAGCAATTCAAAAGGATCAACATTGAACGCAGCTGTCGCCAACTTAGGAGACAACAACAAGCTAGACTGGCTACGGAGGAGCGCATAGACGACCAATTGAGCAGCGATTCTGAGGAAGAGTACGAGATGGACGGTGAACATAACCCGCCCCAGGTTCCCCCAGTGAATCAGATCCTGGGGAACAACCCAATACCCCAAGCAGATGGGGTTCAACATCAACCACTGCCGCCGGGTCCCACCTTGGAGTATTATTGCACTCCACGGGTCGCTGATATCCGCCCTGTCATCCTCTATCCGCCCATTCCAGCGAACAACTTCGAGATCAAGCCATGCTGGATTCAATTCATTACATCCTCTATCCAGTTTCATGGGTTGAAGGATGAGGAGGCAAGGGTGCATCTTTCCCGGTTCTTGCAGCTGACGAACGGGTTCAAGATGAATGGTGTACCCGATGATGCGATCCGCCTTCACCTCTTCCCCCATTCTCTGGCGGGGCATGCTAAGAGGTGGTTAGAGACCCAACCCCCATTGTCTATCACTTTTTAGGACGATCTGGCCAACAAGTTCGTGCACATGTACTATCTGACATCGAAGACCAAAGAGATGCAGCGGGAGATCACTCACTTCTGCCAAGAGCCAGATGAGTCACTTCGTGATGCATGTGAGCGGTACTCGGGATTTTTCTGGCAGTGTCCCCATCATGGCTTCAGTGATGCATTCACTGTGGGGAACTTCTACAGTGCTCTCTCTCCGGAAAGCCAGAGGGTGATTGAGTCTCTATGCCCAAGAGGGGATATTCTCACTAAGACTCCACCCAAACTGAACCAGATGATCAGTACCTTGGCTGCCAGAGATCCTTCCTGGGGGCAGAGCACCAGAGGCAGAAATTCCAGGGACCGTGGTGTGCACGCCATGGAGGCCAGATCCGAGCTAGAGAGGGAGGTGGCCGAGTTGGTGCAGACATTGAAGCAGCCCAACAGTCTTATTACGGGCAGAGGTTTGGCCGGACCTCCAGTAGCTCAATGTTAGTGGTGTGAGAGCTCGAACCATCTGGTGGAAGACTGTCAGGCTATGCGGGAGTCATCTACACCCTAGGAGCAGTTGGACTTCATTGCCAATGCTCGGCGCCTCGACCCTTATAGTGGTACATATAATGAAGGTTGGCACCAGCATCCCAACTTCTCTTGGAATACCAGCAACACCACTAAACTACCTGGTTTCCCAGCACAAGCTGATAGTTTTCAGCAGAGGCAGCCTTTCCAGGCCATACAGGGGCCAGTTCCACAGCAACAGCCTTACCAGCCTAGACAGGGGCAACCTTTTCAGAAGCCCCAGCGTCATTATGCCCAGCCACCAGCACCTGCAGCTCCAGGTAATCAGATGACGGAGCTGAAAAATATTTTGCAGGCATTCATGACCACCAGTGATAACATCGGATTTGCACATGTTTGCACCCTCGTTTCTTGATCATTTTGGCTTGACTTTCTGATTTCTAGGACTATTTTATGCTAGGTTGTGTTACTTTGTCACATTTCAGGTCCTAGCATGTAAATTGAAGCATAGGCGCAAGTTTTAAATCAATCAGAGATCATTTGGCAATTCGGGAGAAGAAACACGAGCATGGCCTGAGGAATAATGGACTTCTACCTCATATTATGGACAAATAATAATGGAATTTTGTCATGAAAAGAAATAGGACGAGACTACGAGCGTCTGGGATCAAACGGCAACTGATTCGGAGTCTGGACGAGGGAGAAACGAAACAATAAACAGAGGCTGAGCAAGCCACACGGGCATCCTGGAACTCCACACGGCCGTGTGGGTCGTGGCCGTGTGGAAATCACCGAGCCTTCACACGGGCAGCTGGAAAAGCCACACGGCCGTGTGGCCTGGCCGCGTGATCGGGAATTTCTGTTTAAAACCCGATTTTCAGCAAAAGGAAAGGGGAGAGCTGGGTTTTTGGTTCCCAAACACCCAAGGGACGAACCCTAGAGAGAGAGAGAGTGACTTGGGAACATTCTTGGAGCTATTTTGGAGGATTTCTTCGCCATTGGAGCTCGGGAATCAAACTTGGAGATGGAGATTGAAGATCTAGATCAGATTTCTGTAGTCTCTCTCTTCTCTATAGAGTAACTTCCCTTCACTTAGGTTTTGAGGAACCCTAGTTCCATGTGTTAAGATCTTTCTTGTATGAAGTTTTGGATGCTATATTGTGTGATTATAATCGATTGAGGCATGATTTGTTGAGTCAATTGGATTATGATCAAATTCTCTTGATTTTTGCTTTACTTGGGTTCTTTCGTGGCCACGTTTCGGGTCGAAAGAAGCACGTTTGAGTTGAAGTGTGCTGGAGGAGCAAAATACCCGACCATGAGCAAAAATACCCAGCCGGGTATTAATCTGCGCAGACCGGGGAAAATCTCTTTTGGGCGTTTGAGAAGCAGAAGGGGGCCCGGGCATTGACAATAAATCCCCGGTCGGGTATTCTTGACCTTGACCGGGGATTAATCCCCTGTCCTCGACGGTGCGTTTCAAGAAACTCCGGTCGCCACCTCAAATACCCGACCGGGTATTCCGACCGGGGATCGCGATTTACAGCTTCTTAAGGGAAAAGAAGGGCAAAGCATAGGGGTTCCGAGTTTTAGAGAGAAAAAGAGTATACCTAGAGAGAGAAAGTGACGAACCTGATTCTTCAAGCATCTTAGATCGATCTTCATCACCATTGGAGCCCGACTTGAGCTTGGAGAAGTGCTAACTGATTGCCAGAAGCAGAATCTCATCCTTCACAGTATGGTTTCCGCATCTGAGCTAAATTTCCCATCTCTCTTTATGGAGTAGCTTTCTCATTCACCTGGGTATGAAGAACCCTAGATTTGTATGTTAGGTCTGATTGTATGAACCCACAGAAGTACTCATTGGAGTCTTCTTCGAGTTTCATGGAACCCATCCTTAACCTCAACAATTTTGCATTTGACAGAATACATATTTCCCTAGATATTGCAGAAAGAGTTAGTATTTGATAGTTAATAGGAGAGTTAAATCAAACATGATACTTAGCTCTTCTCGATCTTTCATTTTTAATTGGTTGAGCTCACGTAGTGTTTTGGTTGGGATTGACTATTGAGCTTTTCCTGTACTTTTCATTGGAGGATTTGGTGCATCATCGTCACTTTATTCACCAAAAAAGAATGTCAATTAATCTAGATTTGTTATTCGAACTTCAAACTTATATGCATAAACAAATACGACGATTAGATATCTGTGCATTTCACCTTGGCCTAAAATTAATGACTTCCAGAACTTTTGGATTTGCCAGAAGCAAGGTCAATCTAGTTGTGGAAAATGTGTTATTGCCTGCAAATGCTTGGATTAACAATAAAGCAATATGTGTCCTTACTATTGTAATTAGCAACATATAATGACATAATGACCCGAGTGAGAGGGAAAGTACCCGTATTTGCAAGGATGATATTTAATTGGGTAACTATCATACCAAAGAGAGTTACTTTGACAACCGATCCCTTGTTCCCAAATTGAATATTAGATTTGCAATTGGAGTTAAAGTAATGCATGCTATTTTAACTAAAACCTAAAAGAATTACAACACTCGTAAAGTTTCAGTTGGAGCTCTTTTGCAGGAAACTTTACTAGTGAATCTAGTAGAAATAAGTAAGTATGAATACCAAATAAGCTGACCAACAACGTGTGTGGAATGAAACATTGAAAAGTGAATGTCGTGATTGTACATGCATCGAATTGAAGTAAATTTCCATTATAAAAAATTATTCAAATAATTATTCTACTTGGGTATGATTTTACTCATTCATATGAGGTTGTTTTAACTATATATACCAAATTTGACCGATTTGTAAAATTGCAAAAATTTAGGCATCAAAATGTAAGGCAAGATATTTTAGGTACAATGAAAATTTTCATTGATTTTTTAAGACTTTTATGCCAAAAAACATTATGTACTAAATCTTCAAATATATTATAGTTATAAAATATAATTTTTATATAGAAATATATAAATATCTAAATTCATGATTTAAAAATCCAAACAATCCAAATAAATGGGTATATGAGCTAACCATAAAATTGTATACATTTATTTCATACCCTACTAAATTGAATTGGATAATTAAATTTTGGAAGAATTAGTCAAATTGCCATTGGTCAGTTATATTATTAAATTCATATAAACCAAATTGGGTGAAAACATATGATCCAGGCCTCGTTTGGATGAAGATTTTTGGTGAGGGATTTTAACACAATCCCTCACAATGAGAGATTTTAATAAAATCATTCATTTGGAAGAGGCATAAACAATGAGAGATTTTAATCGCAAGGAATTTCAAAAACCTGCAACTGAGAGATTTTAAAATAGCTGATGAAGGTTAGCTATTTCTAAATCCCTCACTAATTATTTTTTCTTCTACCATTGCCCTCCATCCTTT